AAGTTATTCATTAGGATCCAATGCAACACTGTCTTAATTTATCTCTTTAAAAATTTATATGGAACAGGAAGGTGTTAACTTGGTTGTATAAGAAGGATTAGTTGCAGGTCCCAAGACAGGGATAGAGGTTGATAATCTGTTTGGATTTTGATTTTCCATTTTATAACCCTCTTTATTCAACCCCAGCTGCATTGGGCCAGTGATTTTATCTCCCATGTGTCATTCATATACATAGGGCTCAGGAACACTTTAACAATCACAAGGCAGAATAGTAGATAGGAGAGAGGTATGGAATTGCTTTTGTGAGGAGGGTAACAATTAAACAAACATGAATAAAAGGACTGCCATGAAGCAGTGAGCCTAGCTGAGGTTAGATAACATCAACTTGTGGTGAAACCTGTTAGTATGCTCTGAGTGAATCCTAATATTGTTTTTATATTTTTAGTCACTCAACATTAAAATTATATTGCTGAGAAAAATGTTATGGTGTAAAAAGTTGAATTTTTCCCCTTTAGTTCCATGATAGAGCCTCTCTGATGCAAAAAGTAGCCGTTAAACAGCTGCATGATTGTCATATCATTTTCTATTATGTTTATTTTTTAACCCTGTTTTAATGAATTTCATGAAGCATTAATCCACTTAAGAGTACATGTGAATAGAAGTATATAGTATTAACTATGATTTAAATTGAATATGATTTTATTATTTCTTTTCTGCTTCCCCCAGCAATATTTTCAGTATTTCATCATTTTCCTACATTAGAAGAAACTCATTTGACAATTTTTAATAAGGATATCATTCAACACTTTTTAGGAACTTAAGAATCTAATAGGATTAAATTAAATATATCCTGGAAAAGGACTCATAAATACCTCTAGGCATTCATTAACATCCTGTTAAGTTAGTATCAGGGTATTTAAATGTAGAGCTAATTTACTTCATTTTCAAAAAATCTTTGGGAAAACAAAATCCCACAAAAGCCGTAGCTACTGTTACATGTTTTTGGCTGTAAAATTAATTTAAGGATTAAAAAATATATATCATTTATCAAATAAAAAGCCCTCCATAATCTGCCTAAGAACCTTTACAGGCTTATTGTCTACTACTCTCCTACAATAACCTTCCTCTCTAGTTAATAGATCTACTTATTGCTTCTCAGCTCCAACACACCTCACTGCTATACATTTGCTCTTAAATGTCCCCTCAGTTCCCATCCTGCCTATCTAAAGCCTATTCATCTCATTTACATTTAAGTTTATTTTTCAGTTAACAAGAATTTATTCTCCCTTTCTCCCACCCCATTTAAAAGAAAAATAGAAAAAACTCTCGTAAAAATACACATAGTTAAACAAAACAAATTCCCACATTCTCCACATCCAAAAATGTGTGTCTCATTCTGCATCTTGAATCCATCACTTCCTTGTCAGAAGTGGGGCAGTTTATCATCAGTCCTGTGAAATGATGATCGCTCGTGGCTCCACGTCATCGATCAGAGTTCTTAACTTCATCTTCGTCTTTCAGCGCCTAGCTCAAATTCCACTTCTTGACTATTCCATCCTATGATTTCTTTCTCTATTGGGCACCTAGGATTTGTTGACTGTACCACTTATCAAGAACTAGCTGATCAGGGACAGCTAGGTGGCGCAAAGGGTAGAGCACCAGCCCAGAAGTTAGGAGGACCTGAGTTCAAATCCAGCCTCAGGTCAATCATTTGACACTTATAGCTGTGTGACCCTGGGCAAGATACTTAACCCCAATTGCCTAAAAAAACCAACCAAACAAAAAAGAACTAGCTGATCTCTAATGTCCTTTCTATGCTTTTATATACTGCCTTGCACTGTTAACTTTTCACACGTATATCTTATCTGATCAACTACATTTTAAGTTTTTTGAGCTTTCTTGAAATGTCCTTTGTAGATCCAATACCACCAAACATAGTACCTTGTACAGAATAGATGCTCAATAAATATTTGTTCATTGAGTGATTGTGGAGGGCCTGAAACTACTTTACATTATTAGAACAGCACTGATGGACCCCTAGTATAAGTTTAAAAAAAACTAGAAAAGTTAAAATTTTATAACAAAGGCATAGTAGCGACATCAAAACACTAAGAAATGATTAAAGAATAATACAAGAATGAGTTTTTCTGGAAGGAACTATAGATTTTTCTCATATATAAAATATAGTTTTCTGAAAATCTCTTTAAAACCTTTTTCAGTATGGTAAATCAAGTCATGTTCCCCTTGATTTTTCCAAGGGATGCCCGAATTTGAGCTGGTTAGGATACAATGAGAAAAGTACATAAAGGGTTGACTCCACAAAAGAAGGTTCCATTTGTCATCCCAATATTCTTTTTTTTTTTCATATTAGTCATGATGTATAGAAGAAATAAAGCAAAAGAACAAAAGAAAAGGAGACCGAATAGTATGCTTCCATATGAATTCAGACTCCATGGTTCTTTTTCTGGACATGGATAGCATTTTCCATCATGAGTCTTTTGGAGCTGTCTTGCATTGCTGAGAGGAGCTAAGTCTAACAAAGTCAGTCATTGAACAATGTGGCTGTTACTGTGTACAATGTTCTCCTGGTTCTGCTCATTTCACTCAGCATCAGTTCATATAAGTCTTTCTAGGTTTTTCTGAAGTCCACCGCTCATCATTTCTTATAATACAATAGTATTCCATTACATTCATATACTACAACTTGTTCAGCCATTCCCCAATTGATGGGCATCCCCTCAATTTCCAATTCTTGGCCACCACAAACAGAGCTGCTATAAATATTTTTGTATATTTTCCCATTTTTTAAAATGATCTCTTTGGGATACAGACCTAGAAGTGGTACTGCTGGGTCAAAGAGTATGCCTAATTATATAACCCTTTGGACAGAGTTCCAAATTGCTCTCCAGAATGGTTGGATCAGTACACAACCACCAGCAATGCATTAGTGTTCCAATAGTCCCACATCTTCTCCAACATTTGTCATTTTCCTGTTTTGTCATGTTAGCCAATCTGACAGGTGGGATGTGGTACCTCAGAGTCATTCTGATTTGCATTTCTCTAATCAATAGTGATTAGAGCATTTTTTCATATGACTATAGATAGCTTTAATTTCTTCCTCTGAAAACTGCCTATTCATATCCTTTGACCATTTATCAATTGGGGCCAATATTCTTAATACCAGGAGGTAAGTCACGCCCTGAACCCAGCGCCTGAGCCTGACAGACTGGACCTCCAGGCACACGCAGGGGAAAGATCTGCTAGAACAGAAGCCCTCCCAGCCTCCGCCAGGACTAGGACAGTTGCGTAAGGGCCGCTCCCAGAAGACTGGCAGGACCTTTCCCCGCCCACCACATTCCGTTCAACCAATCAGAAAGGCACTCTCGCCCCGCCCGCACTCCTCCCAGCACCTTCCTTCCCCTGTCTCCCCCGAGCTCCACGCGGTGCCCCCCCACCCCGTGTCTCCTAGGCAACCACTGGCTTGGGCTTGCTTATTCTTGACTAAGCAGGGTGAGTTGCATTAAAGGGATATTGGGGTATCGGGAACTTCCAAACACTGGAGAGATGGGCAAGAAAAGAAACGTTCTTGGAATCGGGGCTGGAGCGCTTTGCCTTCTTTCTCACCACTCTTTTGACACAACCATGTAGCTTCACCATGCACGAACCAATCTTCCCTCCCCCGCCTTCGTAGTCCCTAACCCTCCAAACCCTACCGGAGCGAAAGCGCCTACTCTTGCGCATGCGCCTAGCAGACGAAAGCTTAGGGACCTCAGTCTAGGAGCGCGTGGTGCCGGGATCAAAGCCCTCGAGCTCCGCCCCTGACCGTGGAGGCACTGGAAGGAGGGGCTCGAGACCGAAGCGCGCGCCCTGGTGTGCCCGGGGGTGAGGGGTGTGGGGGGAGGGACGTTTGGCGTTTTAAAACTGCCTTCCAGGAGGAGCGAGAGTTTGTGCCGCATCGCGCAGCCTCTAAAATTCTTCTCTCAATTTCTCTCGCTTTCTGTGGACGCGCCAAATTAAAAGAAAAGAAAGAAAGAAAGAAAAGGAAAGGAAAGCAAGCGAAACCAGTTAGATCTGAGAAGAGCTCCTCCATCGTTGTTATTGTTATATATTCTCCCTGATAATAATGATAATCTGCCTCCCTTTTTTCACTCACCCACACCAGCCCGTCTCCCATACTCGCCTCGGGTCCCCACGAGGTTGTATCACCGAGTAACTCCGGTCTCTTTACAAGGAGAACCCTGTTTTTCAGCCCTCTTCCCCTCCCTCACCCCCTAGGATTTCTCAACAGTCTCTGTCGTGACAGGAACAATCGTCGTCGCCGTTGACCTGCGCAAAGAACCACCCACTTTCGCGACAGTGAAACTTAGGCTCCTAACATCTCTCTGTCGCGCGCTCTCTCTCTCTCTCTCTCTCTCTCTCACACACACACACACACAACACACACACACTCCACCCCACACCTCTTACCTCAGCCCCAAATCCCACTTTACCAAACCCAAACCACCCCCCCTTTCCCTCTTGGCAGTTTTTAAAACCTCGTTTGGTAAAAGTCAATAAGTGGGTCCAAGTCCTCAGTCCCCCGGGTGTGGTTTGCACGGACTCAAAAAAAAAATCTGGCAAAAAGCGCCCACCGCGGAATCCCACCGCTTCCCCCAGCCCAAAACAAAAAACCCCAAACCGCATCACTTTGTCCTTTCCCGCCTTACATAATCGGCCAGGAGGGATCGTGCAGTTTGTCTGGATGCTGAGACATTCCGTGCTCAAAATGAGGTTCCCCCCGACATCCCCCTTCTAATTCCCGAGTGAAAGAGATTTCAAGCGTAAATGGACTCGGCAGACTGAGTCCCAGAGCACTAGCAAAGACGCCCAACTCGGGCTGGTGTCCAGAAGAATCAATTAATTCCTATTTGCAACACAAAGCAAGCGGAAGCGTTGAGGGCTTGGGTAGAGGGAAGGGTTTAGGGGTCTCTAGGCGCTCTTTGATGGAAATAGACACCTACCTGGATCTCGTGGATACGGCTAAAGCCATCCTTCCAGAAGAATTCCACCAGGTTAGCCAGGGTGTTGGGTCCTGGCATTTCCTCCAGGGTCTTCACCTTTGGATGATGTTGCTGCGGGATGACCGTCCGTACCTCCCCTACCCCTGCCGCCACCATCTCCTCCTCTTCTTTGTCCTCAGCTCCTGTTCCTGCAGCATTATTCCGTACCTCCAAGTTCTGGCTGCCAGAAAGTTTGGGCAGCTGGTGAAACCTGCTGACAAAAACGAGGCGATCAAAAATCCCGTTCCTTTCAGGCATTAACGCTGGCTTGTAGTGGGCTTTCAAGATCTTGGTAAAGAGAGCCATTTTAAGAAATTCTACTTATTTAAAGTTTTGTTTCAGTGGCTGTTCTCTTTTTGGTTGCTCTTTCCTCGGTTTTAACTTGTACAAGCAGCTCTTCTTCAAACTCTTACTGCTTGGGCATCAGTTTACACAGACCATTATTAAAGGCTCCCTCCCCTAAGGCTGGAAAAGGGGGGGTGGTCTGTGATGAGACCAGAATAGAATGTATCTATTATTATTTTTATTCAGAACAGATCAATTTACCAATTATGCAATTTCCCTAACCACAAAATTTTGTTTTCCATGCTCTGCACCCCCTACCTTGGCATATATGCCCACACAATTTAGAAAAAGCAAAACTTCATTAAAATTAGCATTGATTATGGTATAATCTAGTTCATTTTGGTGTTTGACCTTTTTCCAAAACAAAAGGTTAGGTTCTTGGTACATAGATGCAGCTATAATTCAGGATGCCTTGGGAGAAACAAAAACAGGGCAATAAAACAGAAGTTTTACAGCTCTGTGTATAGATGACAGTTCTTTCTATAACAGCAACATGATTTTACAAGTTCTTGTAATAATTAGAATTATGCTTTTTGGGTTTATGGTTTGTAGATGTCATTAAGAACAATTAACTTTCATTTCTTCTAGGAACACCCACCCACTTTCTCCAGCACTGACTCTCACACCCTTTGCAAAAGCACTTTGCTGATGAATTCTTTTGTCTTTTGACTAGGTGCTCTGATAAGCCTTTGATTGTGTCTAAACTATACATCTACAACTCATTTAAGGCAGTGAGATGAGTGTAGAGGATAGCTGGATTCCCTGAACAGCAGCTGGCTTTAACTCTCTGCATCTTGAAAGTGGTGAGATATTGTTGCACAATGCAGAGTTCTGACTGAGGGTGTGTTTTGACCAATCTGGATCCAGACGCCAGTGCCTAGGTGGAAAAAAAAATACCTCCCACAAAGAGAGTAATTTTGGCAGCAAATATGCAAGTATCTGTGATTTTCAGAGAAGGAGAGCCTAGATACCTAGAAAATATCTGTTCTTTTGAAGACTGAAAAAATAATTGAGTGACAATGCAAATTATATTCATGTATCTGGGGTAATTTAAAAAATTATAAGCACAAACTATTGTTCCTAAGAAAAATTTAATTTTGTGGTGGATATTATTAAATATGGTAACATACACATTTAAAATCTTTATATTATTTGAAGCTTACAGAAAATAAAAGGTTTTTGTTGTTTGGTCACTCTGACTGCTCATGACCCCACTTGGGGTTTTCTTGGCAAAGATACTGGAGCAGTTTGCCATTTCCTTCTCCATTTCATTTTACAGATGAAGAAATTGGGGCAAACAGGGTTATGTGACTTGCCAAGGGTCACACAACTAGAAAGTGTCCAAGGCCAGATTTGAACTCAGGAAGATGAGTCTTTTTGACTCCAGGGCTGGCATTCTATCCATTGAATCACCTAGCAGCCTGTAAAAAACAAGATGTACTAAGAATCAGAAAAGATATATGTGAAAGTGCTTAAAAGGGCATAATTATACAAGTGGCAATTAAATTATTTGTGCCAAAAATACATTCTTTTCTTTCCTTTCCTCTCCCTCTCCTTTCCTTTGTTCCTTCTTTCTTTCTTTCCTTCTTCCTTTCTCTCTTTCTTTTTTGAAACAAGGATACTGGCCTCCTTGCTGATCCACAAACAAGCCAAGACTCTTGGCTGGAAACATTTTCTCTAGTGGCCCTCATTCCTGAAATGCCCTCCCTCCTCATCTCTAGGAAGAGCTAGGTGGTGGAATGGCTAGAATATCATCAGGCCTGGAATCAGATAGCTATATGTTTGTACAATCAAAAACCTAGAACTAGAACAGAACTTCTGATTTTCTAATCCCACTCCTTTAATATTACAAATGAGATACCTGAGACCCAGAGAGATTAATGATTCATACTAGGACTAGGTCATAAATGTAGTTAATGGCAGAGGCAGGCTCCTGACTCTAGGTCCAGTATTGTTTCAACTGCACTGTGCAAGCAATAAGGAGCAACCAAAGGTTTTCAAGTGAGAAATTGAAACTGTCAGAACTGTGCTTTATCAATCAACCTACAATGTGCCAGGCACTGTGCCTTATAAGAATTAATTTGATGGCTGAGTCAGGACAGATGAGAAGGAGGAAGAGACTGAAGGAAGTTAGGGGGCTATTCCAATAGTCCAGGAGGAAAACCATCAGAGTCTGAACTAGGATGATGGCAGCATTAATAGAAGGAGAAAAGAGGAAACATGAATAATATTATGGAAGTAGACTAAATGTGCCTTGGCAACCGATCCATTTCGGGGGGGGGGGGGCACGAGGGAGAGGGAAGAGCCAAAAATGACTCCAAATTTTCCAGTTAAATGACTAGGAGAGTGGTGGTGCCATCAACCAAAAGTATGAAATTGAGAGAGGAACAGCTTTAGGAGTTTAGAAGATGAATTTACTTTTTGATGTGTATAGTTCAGAATACTATATACTTTAATATTTCAAAACATCTATGATATCACTAATGTGAATACTCCCTCCACTAAAATAGCTTAAAACCTTTCCAAAAATGACTTGGCAAAAAATCTTCACAAGTTATTTAAGGTAAAAAAAAAATAGTCAACTGGTGATTAACTTTCTCATTAGTCTCTCCAAATATAGGCAAGGCAGTATTCAAAGCTTCCAACTTGTTAGGATCTGGCAAAACCCTCAAGAACCCAGGTCACCTCCACTCTATGAAGAGGGTTTATAATAGGATCGCAGTAAAGGTACTTTGAACAAAAGAAATAAGGACATGATGAAATCTAAAATATGAAATAAAGAAATAAATGAAGAAAAATTTCCTAAGGAGTAAAATGATAGCCATCTATGAATATACTTTTTGTTCCTTTCGTTTTTTCTTCTTTGATGGACCCAGGAGAAAATGAACAAAACAGGAAAACAATATTAGTAAACTTGGAGAAAGTGAGGAGGGTAGAATATCAATAGGTGAAAGGATGAACCACATTAATATTGTGTCCTATCTCAGATGAATAAAATGTTGGTTTTAAAATTTGTCTCCTGCTGAGAGACAAATTCATTATCATAATATTAAATGGAGCATTTTGTGAGTGTAAGGAACTGGCAAGGTTTTGTGCTAGCCATAATATAGTTCAAAAGTCAAGGGCTTTGTTCCTGTCAGATAAGGACATATAATAATAAAAATATGGAAACCAATAACCTTATTATCATCTCTGCTTAGGGTTTGCTCTTGTAAAAATTCATTAATTACATGTCAAAGAGAATCTTGAGAGCCCCAGCCAACACATAGCTCCTGTGGGGTATTTTTTAGGAAAAGTTCCTGGAATGAAGTTGTGGGGAGGCTCCTCGTGGTTAAATGAGAGTAATAAAGAAATTTCTAACATTACATCATATAATTGTATGGGACAATGGACTGCAAATTAACACCAGATATTGGCAATCAAAAAACAGGCTTAATTTTAGCCATGGGTCACGGTGGCTAGCTTTTATAGGTTAGGTTGGTGACTCATAACTTCAATTATGAACTAAAAGAAGACATCCTGCACTTGTTAAGGAGAATTTTTTCATTCACTGTGCCTTAGTAGATGGAAACAGAGAGCCAATAGATAATCCTTAAGAGATAAAATTCAAGAGAAAGTAACAGGCTGGAAACAATAGCCAGAGACACGATGCCTAGCGGTGAGCAAAGACAACATCAACACAGCCCTGAAGCCCTAGAAGTGTGTGTTTCTTAGGACACATGTGTCTTGGCCTTATGAGTGTACCCTCCATGTATGTACACCTTCACATATGTGGCCAGTGTAGAAAAAACACCATTTCAGACCTTACTTATTTCAGACACTGAATGGCTACTGACTGTTTTATTTATAAGTTATTCAGAATAAGAAACTTGGAGTGATTTATTCACAAGTTGTAAAGGACAGATGCATTTCTTTCTTTATGAGGTATGAAAAATATTCTTCAAATTATTTGATTGAATTATATGATCACTAACTACTGGCTAGTTGAAGGATCACTCAGTTACTTGGTGGCTCTTAAAATGGGCCATAGATTTGAGAAAAGTCAGTCAAGAGCAATTCCTGAGAATCAGGAGAGAGCCAGCTGTGAAGTCAAGTTGAGCTATGGTGATGACTGACCCAGGAAACTCAGCAGATTGACATGTCCCGTAGAGATGTGAGATCCCCAGTGGAGAAGGATGGGGAGACCATGAGGGAAGACATTGGGGCTTTGTTGTGTCAGAGATGTGAGCTGCCTTGGCCATATGTGTTCCCTACATGTACATCTCTATTAGTGTGCATTATATATACACTAACTTTTCCCTCTGATACCATATGCATTTGTGAGGAAATGCACTGTAGGTTTTACAGGGAATTTTTTGTTATTATTGTTCATGCTATGCCAATAAATGCCTTTGCTTTTGAGCTGATTGTGTCAACAAGCTGATTATTGAAGTCACACATTAGTGGAGTCTCATGAACTATAGTTTCAGGAGTTCAGACACACAAAGTACTTTAAACTTGGTGCAGTTGTCCCCTAGGACCCAGGCCCAGTTGGTGGAGTTTGTACCCTCTCCTTCTGGTAGTATGGAATGTATACCTTATGTGCATGGAAAGGATCTTTTCTTGTCCCTTTATTTGCTACACTGTTTGATTAAATTATTTTTTAAATTATTTAATTATGTTGATGCCTTTGTTTTTTGTATCTCATTCATTTCTGAATATATTCTTCTCTTCTCCTCTATCCAGTGAGCCACCCTTTGTAACAAAGATTTTAAAGAGATAGGAAGAAAAAGTAGTTTAATAAAACTAACCAACACTTTAACTGTGTCTGCCAGTATTTCACATCCATGGTTCACCACCTTGGCAACGAAGAGAGGGAAGTGCACTTTCTCAACTCTTTCCTGGGGCCAGGCTTGCTCCTAACAATTATACAGCATTCAATTTTCTTTCTGTTGTTGTTGTTCTTTCCACTGACATTTTCATAGTTATTGTATATACACTGAGCTCTGCTATAATGTGTATTTCGAAAAAGCAAATATGTTTCAATGAGAATGATACATTAGGGAACATTCTGAGCATAATTCAAATTTTGAATTGGCTTTTTTGAGATTTCTTCTGGTAGAAACATCAA